CACTTATGGTTACATGTGTATATCTCGGTAACCGCTGCACTAAATTCTTCCAAACTTCGCACAGTCGTTGGCCTTGATACAGCATACCAAATGGCCGAAAATTTAAAAAATCGGACAATAACCACGCCCACATCCCATATAACGGTAATTTCCAGAAATACGAAAACTGCGATATTTTAGTAACTACTGAAGATTATTCACCCAAAATTGATATTTACAACAATTTTTAGACGAAAACTAAGAATATTATAAACTTTTGGAAAATGGGCGTAGCCACGCCCACTTATGGTTACATGTGTATATCTCGTTAACCGCTGCACTAAATTCTTCCAAACTTCGCACAGTCGTTGGCCTTGATACAGCATACCAAATGGCCGAAAATTTTTAAAATCGGACAATAACCACGCCCACATCCCATATACCGGTAATTTAGAGAAATACAAGATCTTCGATAAATCAGTAAATATTAAAGCAAATTTATTCAAAATTGATGCTTGCAACAATTCTTTAACAAGAAATACGTTTATGGTAAAATTTTGGAAAATGGGCGTGGCACCGCCCACTTATGATCACATACATATATGTATATCGGTAACCGTTCTACCAATTTGTACCAAACTCGGTGTGGTTATTGTGCTTGCCACATATAAGGAAAACGTTGAAAATTATTGAAATCGGACTAAAATTACGGCCGCTTTTCATATAACGGTAAATTTCAGAAATACACCCCGGCTTACCATCTAGCGGTAGGTTTCGGAAAGGTGAAAAAACATATATTTAATACTTGCGCCGGGTATTTAATGTTCGGCTCCGCCCGAACTTAGACTTTCTTACTTGTTATTTATAAAATTTGTTTAAAATTCATTAATTTTTGCAGAACAATGTATTTGTTCACTAAATTTTCTATGACATAGGTTATACCCACCGTTTTGGTTAATACTCGGGTGATGTAAATTCTTTTTTCACGAAAAGTTTATTTGAAGATGCAAAATTGATGACATTAAGTTGAAAAATTATATCGGTAAAAACACCTCCTCTCGAGATAATGCACATTTGTGCCCGTTTTACACCATTTTGAATTGTTACTGGCAAATCAGAGCCAAATTGGCATTTTTTTACCGCTAGTTGCGAGATTTCAGAAAGCTCCACAGGAAGAAGTCTGGCATTGTGGAGGGAAACGATTCACATTTATAACATTACCTTTCCGTCGCATTATATTTACCTTTATGTATATCCATATATACATACTATGTATGTATGTACATGAGCATGTATGTACTTCAAATAACAATTCTTATTGCTTAATTTAAGACACAATTTAATGCTTAGACGTATGGGTACAAAGTTTTAATGTAAATATATGCAAGCTTTAAGAATACATCATTGTTTATGCGTTTAAATATAATAAATATTGAATAAAATTAAATACATACTATTAAATACTTTTATTAATATACTGAATTCACAACATCAGCCATTTGAGCTCTTACAAAACAGCTTAAACCTTAGATCGGCAAATATTGGCCGTAAATTGGCGCCGTTCATTAAGCGAACTGCCCAACAAATCCTCGTCTAGCCATGTTTCCAGTGTCGTGGAACTGGAACGAAAACTGGACTTTTGGGACTCAGCATCCAACTTGAATTGAGAAACACGTTTTTCACTTTTTCTATTATTCCAATGTATGTCAGTATCATCATTCCAACTGTCATCAATGTAAAAATCGTCGTCCAACGAATTGCCATTAATGTCCCATTTGACAACGGGCATCAATTTGTCAAAGCGGTCGCGTTGCTCTGCAATAACAACTCTCTCAAAATTTCCAGGATTCTTAATTTCTAAATTCATTACATTCATAGGCACATATGCGGGTATATACTGTGAAATATAATGGACGGTTGGTGGTTGATTAGTATCGCTGGCATTGTACTCGTAGCTGCGCTGCGCTGCTGCGCCAATGTCGGCTCGTTTTAGTGGATCCGCCAACGGATCAATGCTTGGTGAGCTCTTGCTATGTGCGATGTCATCAACATCATCTAAACTCAAAGTGGACGGAGTGCGACGGAAATAGCGCACGTGCTTATTGTATTTGACTTTTTCAAATACCATTTCGCGCGCATCGAATTCAGGCTCATACGACACTATCTCCGAGACCGTGTCGCTGCGCAGTTGCTGTAAGCGTTGAAACTCATAGCCATCAGAGGCCAAAAATAGTCGTGACGTCAGACATTGAAGAATATGATTATTTTCGTGGTCGGTTAAGCTAAAGTCTTCACCGTCAGCCTCATAGGCTGATGAAGTCTCGAAATCATGGACGGGTTTATCTTCATTGAGGTTGCGCGGCTTAGTATTAAGTTCGTTCTCTGGCGGGTGCTGAGGTATTGAAGCCGGCGGTGGTTCTTCGTAACATGATGACACACCGTGATTAACATTGGAGATCTCGTCTTCCTCTTCAAGTTTCCTCGCAGACAACGGCTTAAGAGGTGCGATTTTCCGAAATATCTAAAAAGGATGGAAAGGATAAAAACCAGTGATTGTTTTATAAAAATTAGTTACAAGTGCGTATGTAAGCCACGAAAGTATTTGCGATGGGTGTCTAATGAAACAAATATACTACAAGGGATTGGTTGCACATACATATAGACTCCCATACACCTGCAGCACTAGTGAATGTATTCGCTAATTATCCAGTTCGGCTAAAACCCTAACCAAATTCCTGATATTTTTTTTTTGAAAATTATCTGAAACAAATAACTTAAGGACAAGCACACCTAAAGTGAAGCGTTCTAAAAATACAATATGTATTAACGAAAAAATCAACTACAACAAAAACCACATGATCAAGTTTAAATAGCAGCAGAATAGCTGGTTGATTGTAGTTGGGTTTACAAGAAAAAGTGGAAAAGGAACAAGACTTTACGTGGAGAAATTAGTTCAGTGGGTAGTGTTGTTCCGATATCGCCATGTACTCGATTCATTTACTCTTTAAAAATATCGAAGAAAAGTATCGATGCTACAAATGTATCGGAGAGAAATACTCGATACTTACTCGAGTAAGTTGATATTTATTAAAAAAGTTAGATAAGTTTAATAAGAACGTTGCGTTCTCTGCCGCCGTGGCAATGCGATGTCATGGGAAGAAAAAAAAAACAATTTGAGTACTTTCCGACCGAAACTTAGCAAAGGAGTAGCTACAAGTTTATTCGAGTACTTTCGGCCAAAAACTTACCGAAAGAGTAGCCACAAATCTTGAAAATATGAAAATTTGACTAGTACGAAAACGCAGCATTAACGGTTTCTTCTAGGCTTGGGTAGTTCTTGAACTAAAAAACTAGTTCACCTCAATGAACTAGCTTACTAGTTCGGTCTTCTCATTGAACTACATATATTTGTCAGTGCTACAATTTCTCATTTTGGACCGCGGTCCAAATATTCTTGACACGAACGTGTGCCGTTTTAAAGCACTTTTGCATAGTTGCTACTTCAATTCCTTGCGAACGAGCTACATACTAAACTAGAGTAGAACGCAGTTAAAATCAAACAAGATTTCTAATTTAATGTTTTTGCACAGGAATATGTAAGTGTTTACATATCGTACATTGTATTTTATTTATATGAAAACTCTGTAAATGATTGAAACGATGTTAAAATTAAATATGCTACGTATGTAACTATGTAAATATTTTTGTGTAATAAAAATAATGCTAAGAATATTACCTTTACTGCAAATGTATGCCTTCGATTGAAAAAAACTGCGTAGTTTTTATGTGATTTATGTTCCTAAACTTATTTGTGTGCGCTTTTTATGTTTGTAAAAGTAATCTGTGAATTCAAATTACCAAAGCTTTTGTTTTGTATGTAATACATATGTATGATAATAAGATGATAATTCGCCATTTGAACTAAATGAACTGAATGAACTAAAGAACTAGTTCACTAAGGTGAGTGAATTACAACTGAATGGTTCACTCAAAGAACTAAAGTGCCCAACTCTAGGTTTCATTCATTTCTTTAGCCAACTTCACTTTTTAACGAGCTGTCGAAGTCCGATTCTCCAACCGCTCAGCCTTAAAGCCAAGGCGAATTTATACAAGATGGTGTTGATGGCGAATCTAGATTTGCGAATCAGAGTGCAGATACTCATGGAAAAATCGCCACTTTTCCTTAAGTTAAAGTTCAAAATAAACAGTTTAGAAAAATTACTGACTTATATTAAGTTTGTCCGATGTATTTTACTGAAGTCAGGTTTTGAAATGACGGGGATTTACTAAAATTTATGAATAAGTTACATACGTGGTAAAAATAATGTATACCAGAGTGTCCAGATTTGGCGATTTCGCGCCAATTTGGCGATTTTTTTTTGTATATTTGCGCGAAAAAATTTATGAAATCGCCATTGGCGATTTTTTCCCTTCAAATAAATTCTTTCCAATTATAAAAATATACAAAACTTAGTTTTCCACGATAAGAGGCTAATGAACTGCGTGATAAACTTTACTTAAAAAGCTAATATGCTGTCAAAAATCGAAGAACTTTTGAAACGAATACCTACTCAATTAAATACTTTCAAAAAGCTTTGGTTTTGTCACCAGAAAGGTGTGTGAATCACAAGAGAGCGAGTTTCAGGGACCTGCCAATTCACTATTTGACTTTGAAGGAAAGAAAAGTAGCGGAAACTGAATATTTAAATCTTTTAACTTTCCCATGGTCCATGGAATAACTTTTTTCAGAACCATTCCATCCGACTATGAAGAAATTTGGATAATTGCTTACGAATTAGAAACCGCAACAGGCAATAAAATGTTTGGAAATATATGTAAGTAAAATAGCCTTCGTATTATTATCCTTGCCGCACTGACATGCTTTTGTTGAGCGCGTTTTTTCGGTAAAGAATTCAACAAAAACTAAGATTTGAAATAGGATGAGGTTGGAAAGCCTTAATTCAATAGTTCGAATAAAGTTTTATATGAAGGCTAATAGTTTCTGCTGCAAAACGTTTCCAATATCAAACAGTATGTTATCAAGGTTGAATAGATCAATATATGGCAACAAAAGATATAGCTGATATCGCATTATTATAGGTTTTTATTTTATTTTTAGCGCCGATCTCTTAAAAGCGGATTATGCGATTAATCAATTAATATGAATAATAAATTTAATAATGGCGCAGTCCTATTGCAAAATGTGTTGAAACAAATATTTTTAAAAAGTATGCGTATTTGTTAAGAAAATTGTTTGTACATCACTATTATATAAGCGATTTGTGTTATTTATTATTACCTTCTGAAGGTATTATATGGGTATTTTCATACTTCGCATACGTGACAGTTGTACCATTTGTTTTCTTTAACTTTTTTGAGCCGTTGTATAGCACATAATTAGCTCTATACTTAACCGAAAAATGAGAACAATCGAACTGCTTGGTACTGAAATATATGCATTTAAAGAGAGTGTCGTTACGTGACAAAAAATGGAAGTCGATTTTTTCTTTTCTTACAAAATCGCAAAACTGCGAATTGTGGATGGCTATTTTCATGAAACCTATTTTAATATGATTTGGAGCAATTCTAGTTGTTTTTAGAGGTTTTTGAATTAATGCAACTTGTTTCAATTTTCTTTTACAACCCCAAGCGTGAATCGTCACGTGACGTGGCGTCACGTGACATAAATTTCCATCGTTATATTTTTGTTAATATTGCTTTTAAATGAATTTTTAACGCAAATAAAACATGAATTTTATGTAGAATATACTTTATATTTTGACTTCAGCGCCAATTCAGGGTGAATTTGTTGGAAATCTATGACTTATTATGTTTCAACTACATACGCCAAATTCGAACCAAATCCGACCATAAATACGGTTTTGCGAAATATCTCAACCTTGGCGCCACCTAGGAAGACCATTTTAAGCAAACATGATTTTACTTACATAGCCAGTATATATTTTAAAAAGCAGACAAATCGGCCCGTAAATACGTTAGATATAAGATTTTTATTTTTTTTGTCGTGGTGGACCTTCCGGTGGAAACGCCCATATTCGTTTTTGGTTTTAAAAACTATATGATAACAAGATCTAATTTTTAAAATAAAAGATTTGTTAAATCGATTTCATGAATTTTATTAAAAACAAAATTAGCGATTTTTGGCGATTTTTTTTTGCAGAAATTGCTCTTTATTTTTAAACAATCTGGACACCCTGATGTATACCATGCATTTAATATAGATAACGTTTATTCAATGCATTGTAAAAACAAACAAGTAAGAAAGTCTAAGTTCGGGCGGAGCCGAACATTAAATACCCGGCGCAAGTATTAAATATATGTTTTCCACCTTTCCGAAAGCTACCGCTAGGTGGTAGCCGGGGTATATCAATTTTGAGTAAATTAGCGTCCTTAAATTTCGAAATATTGAAATTTCAAGCATATCTGAAATTTACCGTTATATGAAAAGCGGCCTCAATTTTAGTCCGATTTCAACAATTTTCAACGGTTTGCTTTTATGTGGCAAGCACAATAACCATACCGAGCTTGGTACAAATTGCTAGAACGGTTAGCGAGATACATATATGTGATCACAAGTGGGCGGTGCTACGCCCATTTTCCAAAATTTTGTCATAAACGTATTTCTTGGTAAAGAATTGTTGCAATCATCAATTTTGAATAAATTAGCTTCAATATTTACTGATTTATCGAAGATTTTGTATTTCTCGAAATTACCGTTATATGGGAGGTAGGCGTGGTTATTGTCCGATTTTTAAAATTTTCAGCCATTTAGTATGCTGTACTAAGGCCAACAACTGTGCCAAGTTTGGAAGAAATTGGTGCAGCGGTTACCAAGATATACACATGTAACCATAAGTGGGCGTGGCTATGCCCATTTTCCAAAAATTTATAATATTCATGTTTTCCGTCTGAAACTCATTGTAAGTATTAATTTTGAGTGAATTATCTTCAGTAGTTACTAAAATATCGCAGTTTTCGTATTTCTTAAAATTACCGTTATATGGGAGGTAGGCGTGGTTATTATCCGATTTCGCCCATTTTCAATACCATCCGTCCCACGCCCAAAAGAAGTTCACGTACCAAGTTTCGTTAAGATATCTAAATTTTTACTCGAGTTATCGTGTGCACAGACGGACGGACGGACGGACAGACAGTCACCGCTTAATCGATTTCTCTTTTCATTCTGAGCATTTATGTATACATTTGTCTATATCTATCTCGATTCGTTTTGCCTGTTACAAACAACCGTTATGTGAACAAAGTTATAATACCCTTGTGCACAAGTGCGCTCGGGTATAAAAACATTTAAAAACGCACGAAACAGTCAATGTACCCACGAAAATAGGGGCCAAATGTAATGAAACTGCGTTTTAAGTTTTTCTCTCTGGTGTCAGGACTTTTTTGAGGACTTTGAAATTTCAAAGACATGAATAGTATTCAAAACTTACAAAAACATTCAATGCAATCTAGAATACAAATATGGGTACTAAATGAAAGTAA